AATTTTCAGCAGCCTAATTTTTTTTTTCAGGGAAATGGGGCAAGGGTTTTGATACAGCTGTCCTGAAACAACTGAGCACCTGCAGTCCTTGCTGATCTCTTGCCAAAGCTAGTATCAAGCTCTGGCATTTCCAGACCTCTACCAAGGCTAGTGATGCAGGAGTGGGGTGACTGCTGCTGACCATCCAGCTCACTAGTATACAGCTTAGGTCCAGGCTATCTGAAGAACCATATCTCCCTGAATGAACTTGTTCAAGCTTTAAGATCTTTCTTTCTGACCTACTACTTTCTCAGGGGACAACGGCACCTTCTCAGTGACAGCTCCCAGATGTTGGAACTCAGAATCTAGGATGGTTCCCTCCTGGATCTCCTTCTGCTGGCAGGAGAAGACTTTCCCTTTCCATCAGGCTTTTATGAATTGACTGTGAAGGGCTTTTGTGATAATGTGCTGGTTTGTTGACCTTTTACATTCTATCTCTGAATGCTTATTTTCTATAGATTGTTTTTAAATAACACATGTGTGTACACATATATTTAAATAACAGATGCGTGCACGTGTACACAAACACATATACATATATAATTTTATTTATGTTCATGAGACCCAGTCTCAACCTCACAGCAGGGTTGGGCATGGCCTCATTTTCCTTGTGGTATGCTAAGGACATGGTGGCTCAAGTGGTTAAGACATTGACTCTAATGATTGCAAGATCAGCAGGTTGGCAGTTCAAGGTCCAGGTGCTGCATGATGGGCTGAGCTCCCATTACCAGTCCCAGCTTCTGCCAACCTAGCAGTTCAAAAGCATGCAAGAGCAATTAGATAAATAGGTACCACTTTGGTGGGAAGGTAAACAGCTTTGCAGTCATGCTGGCCACATGATCACAGAGTAGAGTCTCTGACAACGCTGGCTCTTTGGCTCAGGAACGGAGATGAGCACCGCTCCCATGGTCCAACATGACTTGACAACCTTGTCAATGGGGAATACCTTTACCTTTACCTTAGGGCTTGGCCCTGTCTCATTTTGCCTTGTGGAAAAGATAGTTCTGCCTCACTTAGGGCTAGACCTGGTCTCAGCCTCAAAGCAGGTCTGAACCCTGCCTCATTTTGCCTTGTGGTAGGGATAGCCTCACAGTAGAGCTAAGTTCTGCCTCATTTTGCCTTGTGCGAGGGATAGCACTGTCTCACTTAAGTCCAGACCTAGGACTTTATCACATGGGAGGCAATCCCATGTATAAAGCGCATTTAATCCTGAAAATATCCTGCAAGAGTGGGAGGATTTTCAGACAATGTCCCCCAACATTGCCATTATCCCACAATTAACCCGTGAATAAACCAGCAAAATCCCAACACTTTTTATTGACAGGAAAATCCCGAAAATAAAAAGCAGCAGGATTTTGCCACTTTGTTCATGGGTTAATTGTGGGATAATGGTGACGTCAGGGACGTCATCTAAAAATCATCCCACTCTTGGAGGATATTTTCGGGATTAAATGCGCTTTATACACAGGATTGCCTCCCATGTGATAGTCCCTAGTCTCAGCCTGACATCAGATCTGAGCCCTGCCTCATTTTGCCTTGTGGTTGGGCTAGCCTTCTCTCAGCTTCACAGAAGAGATAGGCCCTGTCTCATTTTGCCTAGAGGTAGGGATAGCATTGTCTCACTTAGGTCCAGACCTAATCTCAGCCTTACAGAGGTCTGAACCCTGTCTCACTTTAGGACGGACGGGACCATGTTTACAACACCATGCATCTCTCATTTCTGCCTGGCATTAAAGGAAAAAGTTTCTTGCCAGCAAACAAGGAGGCAGCGGCAACCCTAAACCAGCTTGCAGGCCTCTGTTTTCATTCTCTTGTGCTTCTTCTACACTTCCTCCCACTCTCTCTCTCTCTCTCTCTCTCTCCTTTTTCCTCCCTTTCTCTCTTGCTCAACGTCAGTCTGCTTGCATGTACAGAAAGAGGCCATTCTGCGTTTACTTTTTTCTTCTTCTTTTTTTGTCACTGTTAACCGCATCCGGACTCTATTAAAGTTCCTGGCGCTGGATAAACAATGTAACTGTCGCGTGCAGCAGTCTGAAAATAATTGGATTAGCTAAAACGTATCAGCTAAATAGAGACAGTCCCTGATCAGACAGTCAGAGTAAATGTCACCCTGGAAAAACCCTGAAAACTGATCTGACTCATGCTGGATTACTCTACTTGTAGCAGCCTCCATGAGGAAAAGAAATAAAAAGAATATTACTTATTTGGCTCTCTTTTTAATCTATAAATAGACAGATCCTAAAGATATACATTCAGATGTTTTAGAAGGGACACGGGGGCTTTTTACCACCAGAATATTTAAGACTGCCTCATGACCTGCTCTTGTGCTTGAACCCCCAAAACATCACACTCTACAGAAGTAAACATTGTGAGCTGCTAATGACTGCAGAGGAAGCTTCTGTTAAAAGCACAGGCACACTGGGGGATTGAAAAGTTGGCAACATCGCTATCCTGGGGGTTCTGAACATGATCTGGCACAGCATGCCTTGCCACTGAAACTAGTCCCAGTCACTAGGAAATAAGGAGCTGCTTTTTACTGAGTTGAGCCAATGTAGTGTAGTGGTTTGAGTGTTGGATGAGAGACCACAGTTTGAATCCCCTTTGCTCGTCAGTGGAAACCCACTAGGTAACCTTGGGCAAGTCACACACTCTCAACCTCAGAGGAAGACCATGGTAAACCCTCTCTGAACAAATTTTGCCAAGGAAGCCTAGTGGTAGGGTTGTCATAAGTCAGAAACGACTTGAAGGCACACAACAACTAACAATAAATTATGCTCAATTAAATCTAGACTCATCTAGTTCAGTATTATTGACATTGACTGGCAGCATTTTCCCAGGATTTCATGCAGCATTATGCCTTAGCCCTCTCCTGACACATCAGGACAGGAGAACATGTAGCTCTCCAGATATTGTTGGACTAGAAATCCCAGCAGCCTTATCCAGAAGAGCCAGTGGTAGGGGATCGGACAAGTTGTGATCCAACAATATCTGGAAGGCTACATGGAAACCAAGTATTTAACCTCTCCTTCCAACCGTATGTAGTAGGGAAGAGGAAGTCTCTGTTTAATATAGTAGGACTTACATCTACTTTAATATAGTGGGACTTACATTTACTTACATCTAAACAAAGATGCTGGGGGTTGTGCTATAAATGCAGATTATTCCAAACTGGGCTGCATCCATTTCTAAATATGAAGTCCTAAAGTCATGTGAAAATGTCTTTTTGCAATTAGAATGACTTCTATTAATGAAATATCTCTCTTGTCAACTATATTACACAGATCATGAAATATTTGAGGGACAAGTCCAGATCAGGTAGACAAAACAAGATTTTTTTTCTTTTTCCTAACTAGTTCCCTGCCTTGCCATCCCAACTCTACCAAAAAAAAAAAAGGTCCCCGACTTTATTTTTACAAAAAACATAAAATACTCAGGCTGCTGGGACCTGGGAAAATAATTGCAGGAAGTTCAGAGAGACTGTTGAATGGGGAACATGAATCTGGTTCTATCCATTTCTCTTTTCTTTGCACACGGAAGTCACTGAACCAATAAATAACATTTCTGGAACACATTAGGGTTTTGTGGTCCCCCCGCAACACCACATAGATACACTCACACACATACACACTTTGTATCAGCTGTCCAGAAAAATTCAAGTTAACAGCAACTTGGTTTTTATTTTTAAAAAATGAGCTTATGAGCTTAATAAACAGATTGGGAATTTGGCTTACCACCAAAAACAAGAAGGGGGGAAATTAATGGTGCATTGTAGTTTAGTTGCCCTGTTTATAATAGACCAGCAGAGAAAAACTAGATGACAAAAAGAGTATGGAAGAGGTGAGGTTAAAGTTTGACCTGTCAGGTCAATTTTGGCTAAACCGCTGTTTTGGAATCCCTAAATGAATTCCAGGATGAACTGCAGACAGTTAGGGCTCATTCAGCAAACACCTGAGGAATGGGCTCAATAGAGATGTCACTTTTGTGCAGGAGACTTGTCCTTTCAGATTGCCAGCTGACTGGAAAACAAAGAGGCTTGACCGGCTCTTGGGCCTTTAAAAGCAGAAGGCTCTGCAGAAACTGGCCAGTGAACTTTTCAGGGCTGTGATATAGAAGCATTATTCACTTCAAACATTTGTGGGTCAAGCCATGGCCATAGGCAGAGCTACAGAATTGAGTTAAAGAGTTGGCAAGCCTGAAAAGAGAATAAATGAGCATGATACATGCATGTGGTGGAAACAGTCTTATCTCTTCCAGTTATTATTTTATTATTATTATTTTGTTCCACAAAAATCTCACTGTCAATGGAGGCTTCCTACCACATAACCCATACCCTCCAACTGTCCCAATTTGGCAAGAATAGTCCCAATTAATCCTCTGTCATCCCACTTCTTCAGCGGCTTTTAAAATGTCCCAGTTTTTCTTCCCACTTCCTCCCTTGGTCCCCTAGCTTACTTCACTTGCAAAGTGCAAAGTAGTTTATGCTCCATTAACTCAGCAAGAGCAGAATTTTGCCTTTCCCAGTAGACTGAGGCAAAATCAAACTGCTGCAGCCTCTCCTAGCTTGTGTGTTCTTCCTCATTGACAGCTTTTGCTGTCTTGACCACACAATGACAGTGCTTGACCACATGTATCCCAGTTTTCATCTGAGAAATGTTGGAGGGTATTGGTATCCATGAGGCAAAAGAGACAAACATGATGGGAGTATGTCACATTTCTACATAGAAGTGAGATCACAAGTTGGAAATGTTACTGTGGGGGCTCCAGCTCCCATTTCTGGACTACAGAACATGGGTTCTAGTTTCTGGGAGTTTTGTGTGTGTTGCATGCATTCAAATCATTCCCAACTTATGGTGACCCTAAGGCAAACCTACTGCGGGGTTTTCTTGGCAAGATTTGTTCAAAGGAGGTTTGCCTTAAGGCTGAGAACGTGTGACTTGCCCAAGGTCATGCAATGGGTTTCATGACCAAGCTGACAATCGAACCCTGGTCTCCAGAGTCATAATCCAACACTCAAACCACTACGCCACGTCCCCAAAAATAACTTTTTCCAATCTGTGAGTGAGATCTCAGTATTATATTGGCACAGCACCCCTCAAATGCACATCAGGATGTGGCAACATCATGCTATAGATTTGTCTATATGGAATTTGATATTTCTTTCCTCTCCACCCTGCCTCATGAACTTCAAGGCGGCCCTGCTTGTTGAATGTGGGGGGCGAGAGAGGCCTGGTGGTGATGTTTAACCTTAAATTTGATTCAACTCTCTACTCCCATCTCCCAAGAGGCAAAATAAAATTGGGAAGGAAGGGAATGACCTATAGGATATTGAAAACATCTTTAATGAGTACCACCTTTTAAGAAAACTTTCTGAAAGCAGAGTGGGCCATGCATATGCATGAGTGAGAGATTTTGTATATGTAGTCATAAAAAAGGAGAAACCCGAAACCTCTGTCCGGCCACATTTATTCAGACAAAACTCCCAATTAATTTCATGTTCCTCCATATAGGTACCTTTGGAATCGTTGCTTAAGCCAGTACCCACTTGAGAGTTATGCTCCCATGAAATCAAGGCTAGTTCAAGTTTAAAAAGCTGAAGGTCACAGCTGTGCCACCCTGTAGCACCATTTCTTTAAAGTAAAATTCACGTAAACCCATGAGGCCTGCTTTTCTGCAAGCAAACGTGTTCAAAATCAAGTTATGAGAGTCTGCAAACTTGTAGAACAACCTGTCATATAAGACATCTGAGATGTCAAGTCAGTTTAGCACACTGGCATACTCTCCGACATATCACAGATGAAAACTGGGATGCGTGTGGCCAAGCAACATCAGAATGTGGTCAAGATAGCAAAATATATTAATGAGGAAGAACAGACAAGTCAGGAGAGGCTGTAGCAGTTTATTTTTGCCTGAGCCTACTGGAAAGAGTAAAATTCTGCCCCTTCTCATCTCTCCCTGCTGCTGAGTTAGGAGTGAAAACTACTTTTGGACTTCAAAGTCAGTTTACCTTAATTGAAACAAGCAAAAGACAAAAAGGGAAGGAGGAAGGAGAGAAAAGAAGCTGGGTCACTTTAAAAGCAGTTGAAATAGTGGGGAAGCAGAGGATTAATTGGTATTGTCAAAATCTACACAGTTGGAGGTTATGCACTTAAGTTGGGAGTTTGGCTGACATCGAGGGAGTTAAATTCCACTAGACGTTTCAACCCATTTTATTATAATGAGAGAAAAATGATCAACCACTTCCTATGTGCACACACAAGCAGAGAGAGCACTTAATGTAGTAAAAAAAAAGTGGGGGGGGAAAGAACAACAAAACCAGTGTAATATAATGAAACCAGCCAATAGTAAATAGTATATGTGGATGGGAAGTGTTAGGTAAGGACACCTCATTTCCCTCTCGCAAGAGTACTTGATCAAAACCCAAGTGTGCTTCTGCACAGTGACTAGAAAGTGTAAGTCTTGTGCAAGTACTCCAAATTCGTTACAACCCTCCACCTTCTGGTTCCTGGATCTGTGCAAATTAAATCTCTCTTTCTCTCACTAGGAGAAGGTTGATGCAAAGCACACATCATTTCCTCCAGTTTATCTCTTTTAAAACCAACAAGTGCAAACAGAATGGACAGGGAAGAGACTGTGGCAGCCCTAGTAAATAGCCTGGGATCACTTGATTCTGTAATATTGTTCAGGCTAAGCCCCTTGGTCTGCAGCGTCGGTGTGGGAGACCAAGAGGAGCCCCTCTAAGCTTGTTCAGTTCTTTCTAAATGGAAGAGTAGAATAAAATAGGCACTGTGGAACACATTGTTCCTGTATTTTGAGAGGAAAGGTTCTGCATTCTCACTTTGATTTCTCGGTGGCCTTTTGCATTATTGAGTTTCATCTCTGCTGGAAAAAGAAAATATTACTTTCTGCTTTTAGTAATAATCTATATAGTACCCTAGTTGGATCAAGCATGCTTTGGATTTAGGTTTATGCCCAAAATCCAGTTGCTCAATCAGACTATCCCTCCACTCAACCATTGCTCAGGAACTCCTTTCCCAAAAAACATATCCAGGGATAGCCATGTTGGCCAAAGTGCAATAACATGGGTTGTTATTTGTGGATTTTGGATGTTATTATCATTTCCCCAAGAAAATCATGAAGAATCCATTAAGGACCCTACCTGTGCTGGAACGTGCTTTCGGTCTGGATTTGCACCCAAAGCCAGTCGGCGATCCCCCTAGAAGGCTGCTAGGGGGGAAAAGTCCAGAGCCATATTCAGGAACGTAGGATGGGTAGGTGGTGATGGGATGGTGAGTGGAGGAAGAGGCCCCTCCTAGTGAGGCCATGCTGCTCCGGGAATGAGAAGACTCCAGCTTCATGGTGTCGGCCAAAGACACCTGATATTTAATGCACTCCTTCTCCTCTTGCCGGCTGGATCCAGTGGAACCTGGAGTGGAGATGGAGGGATCCGGGGAGACATCTTTGGGAGGGGTTGGTGGGAAGGTGAAGAGGTGTGGGCTGGAGTGGCCCGCTGACAAAGTTGAGGAAGAAGCCGGAGGGTAGACAGAGAGAGGTCCAGGCGAGCTGTGATGGATGGGGGTCTTGGAGAAGGGACTCAGGTTCCATGGAGAGGTCCCATGGTGGTGGCTTCCCAGAGCTTTGCTCCCATCCAGCCAAGGGAGAGAACTGTGCAGCAAGGGTGGGCGGCACACCTGGCCACCTGCTAGGACAGAAGAGAAAGGAGATCCACATGAGATGGCTTCTCCCCAAAGAGAAGATCAATGGATGAACAGGCCTCAAGTGGGGATCTGAGGGACAAGCCAATACTTCCATCCTCTGGAAGACTCAAGACCTGGGGCTACCCAAGGTGGATTTTGGTCACCCATTGCAAAATAAAACTTATGTCTGTAAGATCAAACCCCAAGACTCAAGCTCAGTCTGACCACAGTTAGATATCTTAAAGGCCTGTTTTCAGGCTGGATTGGGCCCTTTGTGTTTTTCCTCAGAGCCTGGAAAAGTTACTTTTTGGATGACAAAGACAGTAGCCATACTGAGTGGAGTGTTCTGAGAGTCCAGAAAAGCAACTTTTCTGAGCTCTGCTCCTCCTGTGCAACAGAACTACGTGCTTTTGCATGACCCTAGGTTTTGTTTTTGGGGGTTTTTTTGCACCATGCCTTGGGTTGACTTCCTCTGTGTCTGTGCCACTACCAGCTGGCACAAATCAGGTGGCTCTCACTCTCATCCTCTGGCACAAGGGACATTGCCCATCCTTAAGGCTGGGGGTGCTCTGGGTGCACCCTCCAAAATACAGGTAGCTAGACCCTAGATTACCATCCCAGAGGGTCACCAAGTTTGCAGGAGTCTCTGTCTGCTCACCATTGACAAATGCATCTGTTCACTTGGTGAGCACAGCACTGGGTAAAATAACTTCATTTCTACCGAACCTGGAGAAGGCTGAGGCCTCTCCTAAACAGTATGCTGAAGTGTAAAGCTGCCCCACAGTTCCCTTAGAGTAGACCTTAAGTACATAAAAAGAACAAGTCTAGCCTCATCCCCACTCCTTCCCCCATTCCAACGGTAGTCAAACCGACACAGACTGTGGCAAGTACATAAACTAGTCTGGCTAGCTGGTCAGAACAAGCCAAATGCATGGACGCCTGCTAGCTTTGTCTCAGTGCCTGAGCCTGTCCTGTTTAGAGCAGAATTTGGACATCAGTACACCCACCCAAAATGAAGAGGAAAGGTGGCATTCACAACCCAGTTAATGGGCAACCCTATGTGTGTCCTGTTGTTGTGTGCCTTCAAGTTGTTTCTGACTTATTTCAAGTTCGGGGGGGGGGGTTGCCATTGCCATCCTCTGTGGCTGAGAGTGTGTGACCTGCCCAGGGTCACCCAGTGGGTTTTCATGCCCAAGCGAGGATTCAAACCCTGTTCTCCAGAGTCATAGTCTAATGCTCGAACTACTATGCCATGCTGACTCTATTCAGTTCAAATTGCAACATGAAAATTATATCTTTCTAAGAGGCAATCACCAAATATAACCCAAGAATGGTTTGGAACATCAAAATGTCAGATTCTTTGCCTCCAGAAGACACAGTCATCATTAGTATTATTAACATTGTTAAAATTATTATTGTTACTACTATATTTGGGAAAAACATGTATCATTAGTAACTAATTAAAAACTGTTGTTTTTTAATCCCATTCCTAAAGTTTTGTTTTTCATTCTCATTCTCAATCCACTGACTCAGTTGAATTCATCCACAGAAAAGAAATTTAGGCTGCATCCCCACTGCAGAAATAATCCGGTTTGACACCACTTTAACTACCATAGCTCAATGCTACAGAGTTCTGAGAATTGTAGTTTTGTGAGACATTTAGCCTTCTCTGACAGAGAGCTCTGGTGCCACAACAAACTACAGTTCCAGAATTTCATAGCATTGAGCCATGGCAGTTAAAGTGGATTACTTCTGCAGTGTGGATGCAGCCTTAGTGTAACATGATAAATGTGCTAAGAAGGATCAAGGAGCTACTCAGAAAGGAAACTGACATTTTACTGTCATTTATTTTACTACAGAAGACAGTTTCAGTCAGATGGAGTCATTATCAGTCATACTTTCAGGATGGGGTGCCAATTAAATTCAAATGGTAAACTTGTGTAGGAACCTGCCCCCGGCACTAGGATCTGAATTTCTTATGTTGTAAGAATCTCTTCTTGGAATGAAAGAAATTGAGTTCTACTTACAAATTTTAAGATTTGGGATTCATGTAAGTGTCTGCCTATAAGCCCTACTTAAATCTGAACTAAACTTTGATGGTGAAAGAAGTTCTTTTAAATTCCCTGGAATTTAAAGTCCTTCCAAGAGAGTATATTCATGCTAGACATCAGCATACAATACCTGTCCATTCATACCTTGAATACATAGTAGTTAAGACTCATCACATTATATATGCTTAAAACCTGAGTTTGCTTGTGCCAAGTTTTGCATAGAATTGCAGCCTTGCCTAGGAGTAAGTGCCACTGAAATACCTATCTTCCTCACAATACCCATCTTTG